AAACCCTACACCCTAAACCCTAAACCCTAAACCCTAAACCCTAAACCCTAAACCCTAAACCCTAAACCCTAAACCCTAAACCCTAAACCCTAAACCCTAAACCCTAACCCTAAACCCTAAACCCTAAACCCTAAACCCTAACCCTAGGAGGGTTCAAAGGACCAACCTAGATCAACTGCTGCAAACTATCTCGATGTGAACCGGTGGGGCAGCGCAAAGGGCTTTGGCGGGCTGAGGGTTTAGGATTTTAGGGTTTAAGGGTTCCGGTTGGGGGTCTAGGGTCTAAGGTCTGCGATTGCTTGTGGTTACTACGTTATGGTGTCTGATAGTCTCATGCTCTGATAGGGTGTGTTTACATAGGGCTTCAGCTCTTCAGTTTCTTTTTGGCTGGCGTGGCAACTTGTGACTACTATGTTACGGGGTCTGGTAGCCTCATGTTCTGACAGGGCTCGTCTAGCCGAGGTAGTTCTAATCCCAAACCCCAAACCCCAAACCCCAAACCCCAAACCCCAAACCCCAAACCCTAAACCCTAAACCCTAAACCGGTTGCCCTTTCCCATGTCCCGCGCATGCGAATGGAGGCACGCACGAAGATGCAGGTCCGAGTGTGAGCGAGGAGACGTAGCCAAGCGGGAAGAAAAAATGGGACGAAGGCTTGTGAATTCAGAGCTTGGCCCTAAACCCTAAACCCTAAACCCTAAACCCTATTCCCTAAACGGGTTTAGGGGTTAATGTAGACGCCTCAGAATTTGTTCAACTTATATGTTGGGCTGTTTGTCGTTCATTCAATATGTCCAGCGGTTGAGCGTTTCAAGAGGGCATCCCGTTGAACTGTAGCTAAATAGGTCCCCAGGTAAACCCTAACCCTCTAAGTCCCAAATCATCTGCTTGCGCAGCATGAGGAGGGTGACCCTTTCTAAGAAGAGCTTAAGAACGAAACTGTCTTGTGGGGTTGACCTAGACCCGCAAACGTAGTACCATTTTGGGGGCATTTGTTGATCTTCTTACTCTGTGAATGAATGGTGGGGTACCCCACAAAGAGACACAATTGGGGTCTTGGTATGGTTTAGGGTAAATGAACCTGGCAGTCGAAAACCCGGTCCATGCTGAAAATCAGGGCTAAGCCCTAAACATGATGGATGAGATGTCCTGCACCTAATGCCCCTGCACCCCTGCACTCCGATGTGCACTTCCGCTCGAGCGCGCAGCTTCCATACTTCCCTTCGCAGACAGGGTTTAGGGTTTAGGGTGTAGGGTTTAGGGTTTAGGGTTTAGGGTTTAGGGTTTCGGGTAAGAGATCACCGTTACCTCCAAGTGAGCTTGCTGATTATCAGCGGATGCCACTCCTCAAACAAAAACATGGTCTCCGCCAGCAGTCGTGGGTTCAAACCTTACAGAGCCAGAGCGTGGAGCTCCAACCATTCCGCACCAGAGACTCTGCTTCAAACCCTGTAGACCCTAGACCGCCCTCATAACTCTCAACCGCCCGCAGCCATCCCCAGCCAGCCTTAGCCCTAAGCCAGCCTAAGCCATCCTGACTCCTAAGCCACCCCTTTTTGGGAGGTAGATTCCTGAACATGATCCTCTTAAACACAGTAAGGGGAAATGTGAAATGTCCCAAGGGCCCACCTAGTCCCCATACCCCAACTTCTACTAACCCTGTGTACTAAACCCTAAACATTTAACCCTAAACCCTAGACCCTGCACCCCCCGGTTTTGGGAAACATCCCAATCAACTCTGCCGACTCCTTGCCGCGACTCGACGTGCCTCCCATGCGCAGCGCTCACTCCGTGCTGACGCAGCCGATGCGGCCATCACCAGGCGGGTTTGGGGCTTAGGGTCTAGGGTTTAGGGTTTGGGGTTTAGGGTTTAGGGTTCAGGGTTTAGGGTTTTGGGTTTGGGGTTTCGGTCCGCGGCCAAAAGTCAGAGGACTTTGGGCTAGTGGCGTCTCATTGGGAGCCCCCTATTGACTTAGTACATAGGGGTAGTATAAGTTGGGTTATGCGGACTAGGTAGGCCCGTGCTGTGCTGGGACATTTGTGTTTTCGCTTATTGGAGTTAAGAGGATCATGCTCAGAAATATTTTCTGTGGGTTTTAAGGGCCATCCTAGAGGAATGTTTAAAGAGTTTAGGGTTTGGGTTTAGGGTTTAGTCTTTAGGGTTGTGGACTTGCAAAGTCAACAGGGCTTCCAAGTATCAACTATCAACAGAGGGCTTATGGAGCTTTTGGGATCTGTCGTAATTTTTTGCGGCATGTGGAGAGAGCTGCCGGAAGACTTGGTGGACTAGGTTTTCTCCAGTTACCCAGAGAGCCCAAAAACCCATTAGTTTAAGGAACATGCCTTCAACAATACAAGGATCCGTACCATGCCTTAAGGTACATTCCTCAATCAACAGGATATTGAGCTCTTTGGGCAGGCTTTCTAAACCCCAAACCCTAAACTCCAAACCCTAAAACCTAAAACCTAAACCCTAAACCCTAAACCCTAAACCCTAAACCCTAAACCCTAAACCCTAAACCCTCACCCTAAACCCTAAACCCTGTTTCAGCTGGGAGCTTTAGAGTCTTCAGGGTGGTCAGGGATATTTGGCTCAGTTGACTTCGTTATCTCTAGACCCCTGCATAGTTTGTAGTTTCTGTGTTAGGGTTCAGGGTTTAGGGTTTAGGGTTTATGGTTTAATTAGGGTTTAGGGTTTAGGGTTTACAGTTTAGGGGTTTCGGGTTTAGGGTGGGGAAACAGGGTTGAAGTTCGAGACTCGAGGAGGTTTGGGGTTTATAGGCCTGGATTCAACGTTTATAGGAAAGCTGTAAGGGTTGGGATTTGTAGGGTTCCGGATTTTGGACTTGCTGATTTACTGCCTTGGAGGTCTTGCTGCTAGACCCCCAGTTACGAATTCTGGGGTACTCCTAGTATTTTTGTGTTTGTAACTAAGGATGCAAGGTACCCAGAAGTAGTAGAGGAACCACATGTTGGGGGATCTGGGTCGGGTCCTGCGAGATTGTTCAGCTGGAAGGCCTCGGGCTTATGCCGCGTATGCTTTTCTGCGTCAATTATACAGGGCGGGAGCGCCAAATTCTCCTTATAACTGGGAGTCCAGTCAGGTTTAGGGGATAGGGGTTAGGGGTTATAGGGTGGAGGGTTTAGGGTTTAGGGGTTAAGCCGGAGCCGGGCAGCGTCTACCGGGGTTTACTGTTCAACGCCTGCAGATGTGCCGCCCCCTGAAGTTCTAAAGGTCGTAAACAGATCCAGTCCTTCTTAAATAAGTCATAGCATCCCTCATCATAACTAATCATATCCATCATCATATGGTTCTTTCTGATCACAATTTTCTTCTTGCAGCTTCGCCGTTTTGGGGCCTACGGAGCTTCTGCGGGGTGAACCTCCAACGCCTCGCTCAGCCCTAGAACGACGCCCCCCCCCCCCCCCCCCTTCCCCCTTGTTAGAAGTAGATTTCTAAGGGCCCCAAGTATCATCACCTAAAACCCCAAAGCCCTAGACCCTAAACCTGGCAAAGAGTTGTCACTATCATAGCCCGGAGTATGGGTTCCTTATGGGATTCTCAAACGTCTAGGGATTTCACCCCCAACCCTAAACCCTTGACCCTAAACCCTAAACCCTAAACCCTTGACCCTTGACCCTTGACCCTTGACCCTTGACCGCCACGTGCAACCACATTCAGGCGCGAAGGCCTCTGGCTACAAGCCGCCGGCCACCAGCCCAGTGGAGGCCGGAGTCGGTTTTTTTTTTGTTGTTTCTGGGTTTAGGGTTTAGGGTTTAGGGTTTCGGGTTTAGGGTTTAGGGAGCCCAGAATGGGTGTAGGGTTTATAGGGGCTTTCTAGTACGTTTATTGGATTTATCTGGGGTCTAATTACACAGGGTTTCTGTGGAGTTTACAGGGTTTGCAGGCTTTATAGGGTATGGTTTATAGGGTTTTGGGTTTTCAGGGTAGCCCTAGACCCTAGCCCCAACCCCCAAAACGTTTTTTCAGGGTAGCCCCTAAACCCCAGCCCTAACCCCCAAATAGAGTTGTTGTTGAACAGGAACTGGAGGGCTTTTAGGGCTTCGTTGCCAGTGGTTCCTTGTTGCCACTGGTTTAGGTTCAGGGTTTAGGGTTTGGGCGGGGGGGGGGGGGGGGGTCCTGGGGAGGGAACCTAGCGCCCAGGGTCGTGCGGGGTTTAGTGCTTGTGCGTGAGGGCATGAGGATTTAGGGCTCTCAGGTTTTGTGTGAAGTTCGGAATTGACCCGAGGACGAACACTTCGCCATCGACCTGGACCTAGGCGAACAGTTTGAAGAATGCCTGGAGATGAGCCTTGAGCTTGTCAGGGTTCAGCTTGGAGGTTCATGAGTACTTATAACCACAGTCATAAAGTCTACTTATAACCTGCTTAGGGGACTTCGGGGGCTTATAAGTACAGTTCTACTAGGATTATATGTACCCTGAACCTCCAAGAGGGTCTGGGGCGTAGAAACGTAGGACCGCGTGATTGGGGCTTTAGGGTTCGGGGCCCGTGGCTTATAAGCTCAACCCCACTAACACCCACTACGCCCTAGGAGCTCTAGTGCCCTAAACGAACCTATAGCTGAGGCAAAATGACCCTGTTCGACTTAGGATTCAGGTTTTTTTTTTTTTTTTTTTGGGGGGGGGGGGGGGGTGTTGCAAGCCTCCCCTCTCCCTTTCAGGGTTTGCGGGTTTAGGCTTTAGGGTTTGGGGCTTGTCTTCCCGGGCTAAGTCTTCCCGATATACAAGACTTAAGAACCCAAGATGAGCCTACTATTGTGGGCTGTTGTGGGGTAGTGGAGTGTTGAATGCTCTTTGGAGGGAGAACCTTGGTTGAGTGTTGACCTGGGCAACCCCTACACTTGGCATTTTTGGCACTCCCGCTGTTTTTTGGGGTCTCGCGGTACACCCTAAAGCCCTAAAGTTCCGAACTGCCGCGATCTCCCAAAGCAAAGGAAGTGGAAGTCTGGGGAGCCCGTCCGGGAGTATTACATTGAGATGGCCACTTCTCAAAATAAACCCCCCCCTTGAGTGGGGGGGTTACTTTTTTAAGGCGGCCCCTTATAAGATGCAGAGTGCCCTAAACCCTAAACCCTCAACCCTAAACCCTAAACCCTAAACTTCTAAGCCTTTTTAAACCCTGAAGCCCAGGTCATTGACCGGTCTGGCAAGGCTGTGAAGCCGGCCAAAGACGCGATGGTCAAGAAAGTCGCTGGCCTAAACCCTGAACCCTAAAGCCCTAAACCCTAAACCCTAAACCCTAAACCCTTACCATGCTGAGGGGTTTAGGGTTTGATGATTGGGGCTTTGAGTTTAGGGGTTTTGGTTCAGGGGTTTTGGGTTAGGGGTTTTGGAGTACCCATAGGAATGGTCTACAACCCCCCCAAAAGGGTATATTAGGCCATTATCTTGGGTAAGTCGAGGGTCTACGTAAACGATATTGGGCTTACATGCAATGATGATGGGTTCTTTTGCAAGGCGTATCGGGTCCAACCGCCTCTTGCTATTCAACAGCCAAGGTGAGCATGGGCCGCGACAAGGAAGGCTGCATCTAGGGAGGCGCTTAGAATGTTTTCTTGTTTCCTTTTGTGGGGGGGGGGGGGGGGGGGTAACTTTAAGAGGATCTAACTTTAACAGGATCTTATAGGGTTAGTGTTTAGGGTTTAGGGTTTGGGAATCCATTCAGTTCAAGGGGCAGCCTAGGCATTCAGAACATGCCAGAGGGAAGGAACTTCCTGGTGCGGGTTCTGGGCAAGCTGCCCGATGGCAAGGCCGTGTACAGCCCATGGAAGAAGGCTGTGACGTTGAGCCCGGAGACCCGAGACAAGGACCTGGGCAACTTAGATCCTTGTTAGCCCAGTGGTACCCTTTTCTATGCCTTTGTTTTGGTTCCGGGTTCCCTTTATAAAGTAACCAGCCCTAAACAAATCCGGGTTTCCCTTACAAAGTATCCAACCCCTTGAAAAGGTGCATTCTTTTGAAAGATGGTTCCTGGGCCACCAAGGATCCCATGAACATGCCGCGGATGAACTGCAACAACTGCCCCTGCGCCTGCTACGTGCCTTTCCGGTGGGGTCTCAACTCCCCGGGCCGACTGCGATGCTTGCTGCTGGTTACTAGGGGATGGGGGGAATGAGGTACCCGAAGCCCTAAACCCGGAACCCGAAACCCTAAACCCTAAACCCTAAACCCTAAACCCTAAGCCAACAGCAAGGATGTAGGCGCTGCGGCTGCCACCACACGGAGCATCAGATGGTGGAGGTCGGCGAGATCCTGAAAGCACGGGAGACGAAGGCGAAGGGCTCCATGAACAGGGAGGCGGGGAGGGCTTAGGGTTTAGGGTTTAGGGTTTGGGGTTAGTGGTTTGGGGTTTCGGGTTTGTGGTTTAGGGTTTAGGGTTCAGGGTTTAGGTTTTAGTGTTTCGGGTTTAGGGTTTAGGGCTTAGTCAAGAGCGCGCTTCTCCATCCCGTCCTTACCTCTGTAACGAATGGGGTTCGGCTTCCCTCAAACCCTAAACCCTAAACCCTAAACCCTACACCCGATACCGATTACAACATCCTTGAATCGAAGGTTCCAGGTCGGCATCCGGAGTCCGAATCTAAAACATATGACCTGCACCCCAAACCCTAAATCCTAAACCCCAAACCCCTAAAGCCTAAAGCCTAAAACCTAAACCCCATATACCCTAAACCCTAAACCCCAAACCCCAAACCCCAAACCCTAAACCCTAAACCCTAAACCTAAACCCTAAACCCTAAACCCTAAACCCTAAACCCTAAACCCTACAGTTCCTGCACTTCCGGAAGAGGTGACGCCCTTGCCCCACGAAGCCCTGGATCCTTGGTCGCTGCTACCATTCAGGCTTGGGATGTTCCCCCCTTATACTAGCAGTCCCTAGGGTTTAGGGTTTAGGGTTTAGGGTTTAGGGATTATAGTATCCCTTCTTACAATCCCTATTAAGGGCTGTTAGTGTGAGGGGGAAACATCCCAAATTCAGGCTGGAGAGCGTGGACTTTAGACTTTTGGGGTTTGGAGTTTTCGGTTTTGGGTTAGGGTTTAGGGAGGCTTGCGAGTTTTTGGGTTTTGGGGCACGCTGAATACTATGGAGCCCTAACAAGCGCAGGGGCCTGGTTGATTGCCAGACCTGCACCCCTGAAACCAACACACCTTTGCGGCCGAGGATTGGGACGAGCGCGAGTGCCTCTTGTGGTTCTGGTCTCAAGGTGCAGTGCACCCAAGGCAGGTCCTCAAAGAGGCCAACAGCAGGCGCCTTGGCTTCCAAGCCAAGCTCCTAAGGAGTCCTACATTTCCCAGATTCTCCAATACCCCTTTATTTTGGGGTTCAGGGTTTGGGGTTTAGGGTTTGTCGGGCTTAGGGAGGAAAGTTCCTTAGACCATAGAAGGAGCCCTTTTACTACCACCCAGAGTAGGCCCTTATTCCCTTTTTCTAGGGTTGAGGTTCCCTTGTAAGCCCCTAAACCCTCAACCCTACACCCTACACCCTACACCCTAAACCCTAACCCTAAACCCTATCTAAGCCCATAACTCTAAACTCTAAATACGCCTTCAACCCTGGAGGTCCAAGCCAGGTTTGGCCAACGGCGGAATCAAGGGCCGCGTTTCAATCGCCGCTCCGGCTGTGCTTTGCATTTCTGGAAGCCCTGAACCCGAAAAACCTACTACATCCTGAACACCAAGACGTCTCATTCTTCTGAAGTCTACACAGCTTCCTCGACCAGAATCCTACCAGAACCTGCCCTCTACCTAGACTCTGATACAGGCTTCAGGGTTTAGGGGTCAGGGTATAGAGGTTTCGTGGCTTTAGGGCTCCTTCAATGGTACGTATGCTTACTTGCAGTGTTTGTATCAGAATTCTAACCTCTGCACAAAGGCTTAAGCCGATAGCGACCCCCAGGCGCGCCTAGAGGGCTTAGGAAGCAGGTCACACCCACGACGGAGAGCCGCCACAAGTTCCATGAGCAACTGTTCCGGCCCGGGCGCCCAGGACCCGGAGTGTTTTTTTTTCCTCAGGGCTTTAGGGTGCTAGAGCTTTACCTGCAAAGCTGGAGCCAGAAAGAGCATGGAGCCCAGAAGTACACAGAGGTGCGGAGTTTGACTTCTGCACCAGTTGCTGCAAGAGCTGCCCAGGAATGCCAGACGTGCAAACACCTGAGCCTAAGCCCTAATCCCTAAACCCTAAACAGCGGCCCCACCCTCCCAAGAGTCGAGGTGTTTCGAGGCACAGACCTGGCCCGACAAGGACAGCCGAAGTCTCAGGGCTCAGACTACATGAAGTAGGGTATATATTTCTTGTACCCCCAAAAGGACACCAGGTATATACACTTACCAAGATAACAGTAATTTAAACCCTGCTTCACATCTTCTTGGTAGCCCAGTGGTACCCTTTACCCTTTTTTTTGGCTTGTGGGTTCCCTTATAAAAATAACCAACCCCAAAGAAGGGTGCCCTTATCATACTATGGTTGCTAGGCTACCAAGCCTTAAAACCGACAAGAGCACCCCTTTTTTCCTAGGTTACTCCTGGGTCTAGTCAAGGTCCATGGGTAATTATGAGTAGGGTTATAAGCACCCCAAATAGGGCTATAAGTAGAGTTACCATACTTAGAGCCGTGCGCAGAAAAACTCGGAGTATAGGTATTGAGGAGCAGGACTGGGGCTTATTTGCTGTGCCTCCTGCCGCATGCAGCGCCATGTGGTTGCGCACGTCGGTTCCGCATTTTGTGGAGTGTGCAAGGTTCCAGGGCTCCTGAAGACAATATTTGCTCCGCGGACTTGGCGAATAGACCCAAACCCCTCAGCTCTACACCCTAAACCCTAAATCCTAAACCTTAAACCCTTAACCCGAAACCCCAAACCCCAAACCCTAAACTCTAAACCCCTAAACCCGCAGCCCTGCCGCAGCACAGCAACCAGGAGCTTGTCATTGTAGAGACGTACTCTGAATCCTACTCCGACTTCTTCACTCAGAGCTTGGGCTGCCAGAGAGGTTTAGGGGTTTGGGGTTTAGGGTTTAGGGTTTAGGTTTAGGGTTTAGGTTTAGGGTTTAGGTTTTGGTTTAGGGTTTAGGTTTAGGGTTTAGGGCTTAGGCATTAGGGTTTAGGGTCAGGGTTTGCCGGTTTTGTGGTTCAGGGTGTTAAGGGCTTTGGGTTTTAAGGGCGTTTTTAGTTTTATAGGGTTCTTTGAACTGTGGTTTAGGGTTTAAGGGCTTAGGGTTTTATAGAGCTTTCTAGGGTGTATATTTTTTTGAATTGCGATTAAGGGGTTTAAGGGCTCAGGGATCTACAGAGTTGATAAGGTTTGTTTTGCAGGGACAACTTGTTACCAGTGATGCGGGGATGCGGGTGGGACAAGTCGAGGTCACACCCTAAACCCTAAACCCTAAACCCTAAACCCTAAACCCTAAACCCCAAGAGGAGATCCTAATATGGCTTCAGGAGTCGAACTCTTCGTTACCGGGGTTTGGGAGTCTCTGGAAAGCATTGGCTGTATGCACTTTGCTAGTCTTCTGGTTTAGGGTTTAGAGTTTAGGGTTTGGGGTTTAGGTTCTAGCCATAGCCCCTGCGCTTCCCCGCAGATCCGGAATGCTCGAAAGCAGGCCATTTACTCTTAACCCAAGCGCCTGGAACTCTTCTAACCCTAAGCCGCTAAAACGTAAAACCCCCTACAGTTTCTAGTCTAGAGCTGAGGTTCTCGTCCTTTTGGACCCTAAACCCTAAACCCCTAAACCCTCAAGCTCCACTCTAAAGCCCTATGCCCCTTAACCCTAAACCCTAAACCAACCAACCAACCTAAACCCGTTCCCCCTCAAGCCCTACTCTAAAGCCCGAAGCCCCTAACCCTAAACCCTAAACCCTAAACCCTAAACCCTAAACCCTAAACCCTAAACCCTAAACCCTAAACCCTAAACCCTAAACCCTAAACCCTAAACCCTAAACCTACCAAGGAAGGCCCAGAGCGATTCAAGGGTGGCACAGCCGACCTGCTTGTTCAAACTGGTTGGACTAAAGGCTTTCTGAGGAGATCCGCATGAGGCATAGGATTTAGGAGTTAGGGGTTTAGGCTTTTGTGTTTAGGGTTTTAGGGTTTAGGGTTTTAGGGTTTTAGGGCTTTAGGTTTGTTTATATTTTCTTTTATTGGGTTTATTAGGACCTTGTGCAGGACTTTTTTTTCAAAGGGTTTCTCGAGCCAACCAAGTATAGGATTTAGGAGTTAAGGCCACAGGGTCATAGGTTTGAGAGTTCAGGTTTTAGGGGTGCAGGTCTGAGGGCTCAGGCTCTACGCCCAAGATCCGAGTCTTCCCACATGAGCGTCACTTTCTCGTGTTAGGGTTTAGGGTTTAGGGATCTGGACACAAGTCCTGGCCGCCGCTTCATGACTTTGATGTGTGCAGTAGATCGCCGAAGCTTCTTCGGCTGCGCATGTCATCTAAACCGTGCAGACTCCCAAACCCTAAACCCCAAACCCTACACCCTACACCCCAGCTCCTGAACCCTACACCCTGAACCCCCCCTAACCACAAAGCCTGCATTTAGTAAGCACCCTAAACGATTGTCCCGCCTGGAGTTCCTATTGTCATACGCAGCCTTGTATCTATGGCACCCGAAAAGGGAACAATATCTTGTGAACCCCAAACCTTAAACCCTAAACCCCAAACCCCAATTACACCCCAAACCCCAAACGATTAGCCCCAAAACCCTAAATCCTAAACCCTAATCTCTAAACCCTAAACCCCAAACCCAAAACCCTAAACCCTAAACCCCAAACCCCAAAACCCCAAACCCCAAACCCCAAACCCCAAAACCCCAAACCCCAAACCCCAAACCCCAGACGAGGGTTTTTAAAAACCGAAGAGGGTTTTTAAAAACAAGAAGAGGGTTTTTCAAAACCCTCTCCTGCACTTGGCAGGTCTACGTCAAGTACAAGCAGGCGCTCCGGGCAGACTGGAGCATCGGCCTCAAGAGGCGCAGCGAGGGTCTGCAGGGCAATGGCACCTCAAGAATCGTTTAGGGTTTAGGGTTTAGGGTTTAGGGTTTAGGGTTTAGGGTTTAGGGTTTAGAGCTAGTCCCCAGCAGCGAGCCCAAGTCCTCGTTCCACTGTAAGAGGTAGTTTTGAAATTTGTGCTGTTGGTTAGTGTATACATGGCTGCTATGATTAAAAGACCTACTTCAGGGAGCAAAAAACTGCGGCACAGTTGATCAAGTAAGGCACACAAAATGTGGCACTGCAAGTCGAGTAGAGGCAGCAGGTTGCAGTGCTTGAGAGCCCAGCTTTTGCTCTTGTAGCCAAGCACATCTCGTGCTGGATGACCCAAGCAGGCTCTGAAGACTGAGAAACTTGGAGGTTCATGGGACTTAGCAACTACTTATAACTGGGCTTATAACCGGGCTTCTAACCCTACTTATAATTGGGAGAACCCCTATAAGGCCCTTTAGGGGCATTATGAGTAGGGTTATAAGTACGGTTAGAATTGGTTAGTAAGTACCATGAACCTCCAAGAAGAAGTAGATACGTACACCTTAAAACCAGAATAAGAGCCCACATGCGATTTAAGGGTTGTTCCCGAACTGACCTTGGAAGATCTGTGTTTCTTGTTTGTCATGCGAAGATTTCAGGGGATATTCCTCTCAAGCTTGCCATTTGTAGCAGCTCTGCTCTCTGAGAATACTGACCTCGCTAAACATGTCGTTTCTGGATGGGTTTGTGACTGGCGTGGGACCATCAGTGGACGCCATCTACTCTTCTTATCCGACATACGCATCCCTTGGGTTGGACGGGCGAGTCACACCCTACCAGGTGCTTCCTTCACGTGTCAATCGGCTGCTTTCTGGCAGCTTGACTTTGTCAGAGTCAGCGTCTGAGAATGGCTCGGAGGACTATGGGAGCTCCGGCAGTGGAGATGTAAGTCGCTTGGAGTTGGATGGCAGCCCGTCGCCAAATGAGCCAAAGTATGTGGCTATCATGCCTCCTCCTGGCCTGAGCCAGGACATCGGTGACGTGGCAAAGGTTTACCCAGTGCAGCTTGCCTCACTCGGTCTACCCTTCCTGGCTTCTCCAAGTGGCTTCGCCAACAAGAAGAATGCGCCCCCCCCCCGCCCGACTCCTCCCAGCACCAAGACAGAAGCAGCGCAACTTCCAGAACTTCAACTTTGCCGTCTGGAGAAGCATGGCGACTTCGAGCTTGTCCCTCGCTTAATCGGCCGCAGTGGCGACAACACGAAGAACATCTACAGCAGAACTGGGGTCGACGTACGCGTTCGTGGTCGCGGGAGTGGCTGGACGGAAGTCAAGTCACCCCATGGCGACTACGAAAGTGATGAACCGCTCCAGTTACTCCAGTTGGCTGTTTCGTGCCGTTCGATGGAGATCAGGGAAGCGGTGTCCCTGGAGCTGATTGGGGAACAAGTTTTAAAGTTCATTGGGCTTTATACAACCTTATATCGCCAATTATATATATATATGTACAGAGATTTTATGCAGCCCTTTTTACCCCCATAACATCACCCACAGAAATTTAATTTGCACAGCGCCCCTTTGGAACTCCACCCAGGTTCAAGGAGACAATGGTGCTGGTGAAAGGCATCGCGCAGCACTTCCGCCGCTTCTGTCGCCAACAAAAGCTGGACTGCGTGGAGCTGTACGTGGTGCAGTAAGGCTGAGGGTTCATCTGGAAACTGTTTGCAACTTTTTCCCGGAGACAATGGTGCTGGTGAAAGGCATCGCGCAGCACTTCCGCCTCTTCTGTCGCCAAGAAAAGCTGGACTGCGTGGAGCTGTACGTGGTGCAGTAGAGGCTGAGGGTTCATCTGGAAACTCTTTGAAACTTTTTCCGGGACCCCCAATCACTATACAATGCAGCTCTAGATGCAGTGATCTAGCCCGTAGAACTTCATATTCTGAGGGCGCCCAAATCCGCCCGTGGAAATATAGGGTCCATGTCCAACCCGATGACCCGCCGGAGGACGTGTGGCTTATCCAAGTATGTCACAGTGTTGGGCGCTGATGCGTTTATAAGAAGGCCGTAACTGTAAAGCATTGCTTGCAACTAGATTGCGCTGATACATGTTGACAGTACGCGTGTACACTGTACACGTATATATACTTGTTTATACTAAGTTTCCTCAATTATGTTTATACATTTGCATTACAACGCCCAAGTGCCAAGTCTTTTTTTCTTGTGCGTGGCTGCCCTTTCACGGCAATTGCGGCGGAATCACGCTTCCGATAGAGCCGCGACTCCACGGGGAGTCGCAGTAGGCATAGGCAGTCACTCCCTGTTGGACCCAGCAGCCGGGGCCAGCTGTATCTGTTCATGCTAGCGACCGACAACATGTGGTTTTAGCATTGGAACTATCAGACCCTACAAGTCACTGGCCAACGCGCTCCATCGCGGCTCTTCCACCAGCAATTAAGATTGCATGCAACGATCAGGAAACTTTTTGACAGGGGTGCAGGGCAAGCGAAGCACCGATGGATCCCTCCCAGAGCTTGGCAGCCCCCGGTTTGTGGAGGTGCAGGGTTAGGGTTTAGGTTTAGAGCCCTGCTCGAATGCCCACAGAAGCCCCCGAAACTTATCCTTCGCTGCGACGCGCCGGATGGCCTGCACCCATAGAACCATGGTGCACCTGATCAAGGGCTCGATGTCACCAGAATCTGCGAGTTGCAGGCCCTGAACCCTAAACCCTACACCCTTAAAGGTGTGTTTTTTCAGCTGCTAAGTTGAACTGTGACACAAATCTGTGGCATCTTTCCTGATGTAACACGTGGGGTCTTTTGGATGATGTTTGCCGAAGCAAATCACCTTATCCAGTTCCATCTGATTCGGCTCAGTGGCTAGCCCACGGCATGAATGGATGCAAACTCGTCACCACGCAAGAAGACAAGGAAAAGAAGCACGCGAGCATGCAGTTCGGTCACTGTTCGGTCTACATAGCTCTATCGGGGAGGAGTGGAAGCTAAGGGTGTAGTAGGAGCCGTTTAGGACAGCCATTTGGGAGCTGGTGGCTCGTCCCCTACCCTGACAAGACTCTCATCCCAAATCTCCAAAGTCAATCAGGGAACTTTAAAGTCGACTTGTACAACCCTGGCTCCTGAATGGCAAGGACTACCTAGAGGCTTCCGTTTGCCCGCTTAGCCTTGAGAAAGCCGAAAGCCGGCCAGTGTTGGTCTGAATCATGGGTGTTTTTTTTTCTGGTGCCCTCAACCCTAAAACCCAAACCCTAAACCCTAAACGCTAAACCCCAAACCTTAAACCGGTTTGGGGGTTGTAGGTTTTAGGTGGACGGGTTGGGCCCTCGGCGCACTTCCCCGCTCCCCCTGCCCCCGCCTTGCAAAGCCAAGTCTTGAGTCTTCACGCCTTGGCCTTGAGGGTTGAGGTAGGGCAGGGTTTAGGGTTTAGGGTTTAGGGTTTAGGGTTTAGGGTTTAGGGTTTAGGGTTTAGGGTTTAGGGTTTAGGGTTTAGGGTACATCACTGATGTTGTTGCTGAGAACGGTTGAACCTTGGTAGGCCCACGGCTTGGCAACATCATGACAGACATGAAAGGGGTAGAGGAGCGTTTGTTGCGTGAGGAACATCGGGACTCATCTTGCTTCCGGCGAGTTCATTGCAAGCTTTGACGACGACGACCTCTACGTCTTCAGCTCAGTTGAGGGACCAGAGCCAAGTCCGTTCGCAGGACGCTTCTTCCCAAGAGCCCAGAAAGCCTTTAGTTAAGGAATATGCCTGAAGCTATGTAGGGATCCTTATAAGTATGATATCTAGATAAGGATCCTTATAAGTATGATTTCTATACAGGGGTCCTTATAAGTACGGTTTACGGTATTTTTCCTTAATTCAGGGGAGGGGTATTGGGCTCTAAACCCTAAACCCGAAACCCTAAACCCAAAACCCTAAACCCTAAACCTTTGGGTCCCCTGCAGGCACCCAGCTACCTGAACACCATGGTCAGCGCGCTGGAGGATCGGCGAGCAGCTTGGTTGCAAGAGCCAGTTTAGGGTTTAGGGTTTAGGGTTTAGGGTTTAGTTTTTTTAGGTTTAGGGTTCAGGGTTTAAATACAATGACTATAGCTACTGGCTATTTAGGGGTTACTTCTACCCCCACTTGCAAATATGAACGTCCCATAGCAACATGTCGCATGAGAAGCCCACCTCTACCAACTTGGCTGCTGAATGAGTGGAGCAGGAAACCTCACGAACTCGCATGTGCGATCTGGGAGATTGGACTGTTCTACAGTGTTACAGTCTATCAAATTCAAAGCTAGAGTTGTTATTCAGGTTCTCAGGAGAGTACTGGCGCCATGTGTGAGTTTCCGAGGCTTTGGCGGTGAAGCTGTCCAATTGGCCTTCCCGGCACACTTTCGGAACTTCTTGTGCCTGAGCCCTCGGAAAACCGGTAAGCTGGAACCACACAGGCACGTCTGGAGGAGCTGATCGACAGAGAGGGAGAGAGAGGGCCAGCTACATGTGGCCCATGTTAGCATAGTTCATATCTCAACAGAATAGTAATAATATCACTCTGGGCGGCCAGGTACGTGTACCACATGGATACGGATGGTTGGTCTTTCTGCGATCCCATCGCTTGGGGCCTCACCAAGGGTCTGGATGAAACCTCCGACAAGGCAGGAGACGGGTTGTCCATGACGTAGATGCATGATGTTGCATGAAGAGGCCATTGTGCTACGGGAGAAACATACATGACTGGTTTGGTCGGTACAGGAGTTTTCTTGGCACCGATGTGAACTTGAAGAGGGTTCTGCTCCAGCTACATCGAGTGCAAACGTTCTGGTGAAAGCACAGAATCATATCCCTCCCATGCTCCCCACGCTTCAATCGCTCTAGGTGAAGAGCTGGGCCTATGGCTATGGCTTCTCTTACGTTTACCGGCGGCAGGCCTAGGGCAAGTGATCGAGGGTTCAGGCTTGTTGGGGTATTTTGGTGCAACTAGCGTTGGGGTATTTGCATCTGTGTCTGGCACGGGCTTCGCCAGGCTACGGCATTTCTAGCAAAGCAAGTACCAAACAGGCTGCCGCTGTGCTCCAGCAGCGGCAGAACAGCACCCATCCTTGCTCGGCCATGGCTGCTTCTGCTCCATGCGGCACGGGCTTGGAGCTAGCTAAAAGAAGTGACGCCGCACAAGTCGTGCAAACCCTGCTTCCCTCCGGGAGCGCAACTTGCCCTCGGACCGCAAAAAGAACAACGCTTGCCGACATGAACAAGGACCTGCAGAGTCTGACTAAACAGTACCCACCACAACGTCGCCGGATAATTTTGGCTTTGGGAGATTATACAGCAGTGCGGGTCACTGCCAACATCTATGCAGTCGGCCATCCTGATGTTGCCATTAACGAAAACCCTTTTCACCATGTTTGTGATGCCGTCTTGAGGCCTTTGGTCGCAGGTCTCGGGGTGTTCATTTTTGTTCATAGAGAGGACCGGTTTTCTACGAAGAATCAGCTCCACATTTGGAGCCGTTTTACGGCGTGTTGCCTTGCGTTGCCACTCCGCGACCAGAGCCTGGAGCTGGTGATGAGTCGATTTTCTCCGTGGCGGTTACGTGCAATGATAGGGTGGGAGTTTTGCTGCAACATGCTGCAGGTGTATATGACCGCTCTCAAAATGCAAGCATTGGGTTGGCAGCTCACAGCAACGTTTTGCAAGCTTTTAGCGTCCCTTGCAGCTGGATTCCTCGCCATCGTCGGAATTTGGAGCCTATATAAAAATTGGAATGAGAGCGTCGCACCCTTTTTTCAGTATTTTTTGCTCGCTTTGCTTGCGTCTTTGAGCCTTCAGGTCTGGGTACTTTGCTGTGCGGCAAGCAGAGCCCTGACGAGAGCGCGTGGCGACGTGACCATCAAGTGGAAAGCATGCATCCTGTATGTCAACTCTGTTCTGGTTATTCTAGGCCCGGGGCTCAGCTGGCGAGGTGTCTTTGCGATATATCTTCGCTCCCCTAATTCTATTCGGACATGGGTGACATTGGATGTAGCTTTCCAAGTCTGCAACGTGGTCTTGCTCAGCGGCCTGGTTGGCCCTGTGCAGTGGGGCTTGAAATCCCTGGAGAGACTTGCAAAGCTGTCGGGGTATGGCTTGGCCTGCAAACGCATTGCATTTCCCGGCCACATCAGTGCGAATGCCCTGGACTGCATCGTCTCCTTCCCTGGGAAGTACAGCGAGTTGTGGGACCGAGCCGTTTCAACTTCAACGGCGCAGGATTCGTTTTCGCTGGCCTGCGTGTTCTTGACAGATGCCGCTTCAGGCTTGGGCCAGCATGCTGAAAATCCGGAAACTCCCGGAAAGTGTTGGTGCCACCAGATTTGTGGGCCGATGCCAGCCTCTACATACCTCAGCATCGTGGAGATGGAGGACTGCAGTCCGGAGGCGTTGGCTTTCAAAAAAGAAGATGCCAAAGCCATGGGTCAGCGTCTGCTAATCCGAGATGATCAGCACGACCTAGACTGGGAGGCTGAGGTGGCGGCAGCCCCAGAAGAAGCCGAGGCACTCTGTAGAGACAACCAGTACCGACCTCCCTGGGGCTGCAAATGGTTTGAGGATTGGAAGCGAAACCTTGATACAGCGGTGGGGCAACAGCAGACCCTGCATGTCTTCTACTTCGAGGACTGCAAGGGGAAGGGTAAGCTGACTTGGGAGCTGCTGAGCAGTGAAGAAGCCCGCGACGGAGTCCGAAAGACCAGCGGTCTGGGTGCTTCCCAAACATCTGAAGTTGCGTATCTTGACAAGCTTGGTCTGAAATATGTAGAGCACGACATCAAAGAGTTTCAGCCTTTTCTTACAATGGCTGGCTTGTGAATACTCGACACCTCTTAGCAGCCGCACTGCTTTGACCTACCGGATTCTACAGATGCAAAGGGACGCCGGTGCCACCTGCTTCATACAATCCACCACCAATGCCAGATCAAACTCTGCCGACTGAAGCCCAACGCCTCAATGAACTAGAAACCAAACCCCAACCGAGCCCTGACACCTGTACTCACATATGGGCTTTTCCTACATACCTCTTATATGCACCCAAACAATGAACCGTTGTGCTCATTATCGGAACCCCAAAACAGGTACGCTGTCTTTTAGAACACTCCTTTCCGAGTTTCGGGGGTGTAGTTAGGGTTTAGGATGTGAGTCCTGAGCCCTACATACGCCCAAAACACTGAAGCCCTAAAGCCTATCACCTAGAACCCCGAAGCTTCAGGGTTAGTGCATGCTGAGGCTGGAGTTGTGTGCTGCACCCTCAGCCCTTCACATTAATTGTCGCCCGTGAAGCCCGCCCATTTCCTTGATGAGAGATTTATGGTACGGCTTAGGGGTTTCGGCGTTTGTTTTAAATCTTGTGGGGGGGGGGGGGGGAGAGGGGGGTACGGGACTGTTTCATGTAGGGGGTTATTGTATTTTTGGTGATACCCCATCGGTTCCTTTGTAGGCGCGTGCTTAGTTCTTATATATGCTAAGTAAAAACAAAGCAGCCCGGGGGGTGGGGGGGGTGGGGGTAAATTTGTGGAGGGTGAGGTTAGCGAGTTCCCCTCCCCCCCCCCCCCCCCCCCCAGTTTTATCCTTAATGAACCTATGGCTGCCTTATTTCTGCACGATCGAGACGGCATGCAGTTCCTCCTCGTGCTAGGCAGGATTAGGTCGAGAAGCCTGCGCCCCAACCCTAAACCTTAATTTAATAACCCCAAACCCTACCCTATGTGAACATTCTGGACGTAAAGTTGGCACCCCGCTTTTAAACTCGGCCCACTGTCACATCCCCCCAAGCCCTCAACACAAGGCCCAAGAATCTCCTTGAACCCTGACCACGAAACCCTCCTCAACGGGTTTAGTTTAGTGATTAGGCTTAACCTTAAGTTGCTAAGCCTTAATCCACTCTAAAATCATAAAGTCCCACCGGACCCACAAAAATAACAATGAGCCTGAAAGTCTCGCCCAGTGTTCCGAGTGTAACTTCAGTTGCCCTGGCAGGCGGGCCTTGATTTGTCTGGAACCCCAGGGTTTAGGGTTCCGGGTTTCGGGTTCGAAGTTGCCCTAAACCCTAGCCCGAAACCCTGAACCTTAAACCCTAAACCCTAAACCCCAAACCCTTAGGGTTCAAGGGTTTGGATCTTAGGGTTCAGGGTTTAAGGTTCAAGGTTGTAGCCTTGTTTTAGACTTGTCCAAGTCGATGGTTGAAAAAGGGGCTACTCAGGGCGTTCAATACCCCTGAATTAAGGTATATTCCTCAACGTATAAGAGAGTCCTTTCGTTAGCAATAGGGTATTGGAATCTCTAGGGTGGAGATGTTGCTACCGATGTTCCAGGAACGGCCAAGAGCTTCGGTACTTCGACAGTATGTAGAACATCGACTTGGGCCTAGAAGGTACCATATAAGAACTACAGCAACGCCCAAGTTCATCTTAAGTGGGTTCCCCTAAACCTTAAACCCTAAACCCTAAACCCTAAACTTGAGTATACTAAGCTTCAGCTTGAAGACGTCGGGGCGGCGGTTGATGCTTCGATCTTGCATCCTTCCCGTGTCGCCATGCCGAGGTGGTACGGCGACATCAATCTCGGAGAGGAGTGCCCGAAACCCTAAACCCTAAACCCCAAACCCTGCTTCACTGGCCTCAAGTGCCTGGTTCCATTTAACGCCAGACAAGTCCTCGCCTCTAAAACTCATCTGCTCCGAAAACTAGGTCGACAGGCATACACATGGTTTAGGGTTTGGGGCCGTTTGGGGTTTGGGGTTTAGGGTTTAGGGTTAGGGTTTAGGGTTTAGGGTTTAGGGTTTAGGGTTTAGGGTTTGGGGTTTGGGGTTTGGGGTTTGGGGTTTGGGGTTTGGGGTTTTGGGTTTGGGGTTTGGGGTTTGGGGTTTGGGGTTTGGGGTTTGGGGTTTGGGGTTTGGGGTTTGTGAACCGTTTGGCGCAGAAAGTTGGCCCCAAGGGATGCGGAATGCAGTAAGGTCAGTTCTGTGTTGATGTGCACACTTGGAGGTTCATGAGTAGTTAGAAGCAGGGATATAAGTAGGGCAACTATACTCATAACCCAATTTGCGGCAAGTACCCTTTACCCTACTTTTAAACTACGCATGAACATGAAACCCTAAACCCTAAACCCTAAACCCTAAACCCTACTAAACCCTTACCCGACTTATATACTACCCCAAAGAACCTAAAAGCAGGACTTCAACTTCATGATGCAGCTGCAGATCCGAAGAGGTAGGGCTTGTGCTTCGAAAGAATGCTAAACCTAGGGTTTAGGGTTTAGGGTTTAGGGTTTAGGGTTTAGGGTGTTTTGCAAACATTTTTTTGGCTTTTTGGGTGCTATATTCCTAAGGAACAGCTAAAATTCCGCATCTTTGCTAGGGTTCCAAGTTCTCCTTGCCCTACTTGGAAGCCCTTTGGGCTTAGCAAGTTTACTAAGTATCCCCTTTGAAACCCCTTAAGAATCCTCGTAGCCCAACATACCAACCCTACTTACTATGTCAGAAGGTCTTCCAAGTACACCCAGCAAGCCGGGCCGAGCACCAAAGCCCTAGAAAAGCCCAAACCCTGCGCAAATCCAAAGCCCCCTTCGAGGTGCCAACAGAGTAGCTGACCTATAGACCCCCAACAGGTACCTTCATTTGGCCCCTTACCTTCCTTAAAGGGCACCCCTGGATGTTGACGCATGCCCTTTGGGGTGTAGATGGTATATAAGGGGTAAATACGGGGTCCCCATTTAAGCCCATACTAAGGGACCATGTAACTACCCTAAGAAGTATTTCCACTTTGAATCTTCCCTGTAGAAGGAGTCTCAGTTGCCGGATTTCGGGTTTAGGGTTTGGGGTTTAGGGTTTGGGTCTAGGCTTTCCAGGTTACCGGGTTTCAGGCTTGGCAGGGCTTAGGATTTAGTATGAGGGTTTGGGGATTTTAGGGTCCAGAAAAACAGGGATGCGGGCTTAGTAGGATTTAGGTTTCCAGATAGCCCTCGAACGCTTAGGAAGGGAATAGACTTCAAGTTGCTCATAGGTCCTCATATATGAGTAACTGCCAAAAAGGATCTAGGTCGGCACCCGAGATGCCGTATACTTACCATGTCCGTCCTGTCTCCAAGGGCACCGACCTTACCTGAAAAAGCTCATCCTGAATTAGCCCCCTTACCTGCAAAAAAAAAAACTCATCCTGAGTTAGCCCTAAACCCGAAACCCCTAGAAACCCCTAAAGCCTAAACCCCCTAAACCCTACTAAGCCTCAATGGGGTTTCGTTGGGAGGCGAGCGAAGCGTGCACCTTGTCCCGGATGACTTTGGCATGTGCTTGCATGTGCAGCATGGAGGCCGGATGCCTCTCTCCGAGCTCGCCTCTGTGGGTTTAGGGTTTAAGGTTTAGGGTTTCGGGTTTAGGGTTTAGGGTTTAGGGTTTCGGGTTTAGGAGGGTTTAGGGTTTCGGTTTAGTGGGACTCCCCCCGCCCTCCCCAATTATTCCCAAGCAGCTTTAAAAAGTAAGGACTATGCCTGAAGCAAAACAAGCTCGTAATCTCCATCGAACTGAACTTAATGAAAGACTTAATGAATGTGTTTATGAAGATGTGCCCCCCCCCCCTCCATGGTTTGGTGTGTTGTGTTGTTTTTTGGCGGTTTGAGGGTTTTGGGTTTGGGGGTTTAGGGTTTAGGGTCTGGGTAACTTCTTCAGGTGAGCGTATCCCAGTCGTGCAGAAGACATGTTCCGGAATTGCCGACGGCACTGTGAGCATGAAGCAGGTCATAGTAGGACGACATGGTTGTCATCGGTTTTCCAGCTAGCAGTCACAGGATTCAAGGCCTCTGCTGGCCCTCTTAAGACTGCTGCAGTTCATTGCGCAGGCATGACATTGTATGGCCCCAACTCAAAGCATGCAACTAGTGCGTGGGGCTGAGAATTTCTTGGTGCCCTACACGAGTGACCCCCCCCCAAAAAAAAAAGAGAAACAACAAATGAAACACACGAAGCCCAGAACCCCAAACCCAAAAAACGAGTCCATAATTGTCATCATTTTTGGCAGGTAGCAGGGCGTAACGGGTTTGGTGTGTGTGTGTGTGTGCAGACTTTCTGGAGCCTGCTGGAAGTTATTGCTCCGAAGACTTTGCTGGTCATTGCCCATGCAGAACATGGCATAGGGCATAGCCCTCAACTCAGAGCGAAGAAGGGGCACCCTGCTACAAATACCCCAGTGGGCCCCTGAATTGAGACCGACCCCCCCCCCCCCCCCCCCCCCCATCGCAAGAAAAATAGAAACACCCTAAAGTTCAGCACCCTAAGCCACAAGCTCTGAACCCTGTGCCCTTACCCGCAGAAGGGTCCAGAAGTTGGATCGCAGCCACAGGCAACACGTCCAACTCCATTCCGCTTCGCGAGGCTTCCACGGGGTTTATAGGGTTTCGGATTTAGTTTGAAAGTTTTCGGTTTAGGGAGACTTCTCCGCAGAACTAGTTTATGTTCGTTCACAGAAAGGTCAAGGGAATGTTCCGGACTGCTATGTTTATTATGGGTATCAGGGTTTTAGGGCTTTGGTGCCGTGGGGCTTTCGGGTTTAGGGCATTTTGGTGTTGGAGGTTCAGGGCGCAAGCTCGTGCCCAAAAAGCACAGTACCCCTGCAGTAAAGTGGTATTCTTGGGTAGCCCAGCCGTGCCCTTTTCCGATTATGTTTGTACAAGTTTCCTTTACAAACTAACTAACCAAAATTCAAAAAGTGCCCTTGCGATAATGTGGTTACTGGGCTACCAAGTAATTCACACGTCTGGAAGGTTCGGGGGTTTAGGGTCACCCGGCATTTCAGGGTTTACGGAAACTTGCATGTTGCAAGCGAAAACGGCAGCAGAGAGGGCGCCAGGGCTGTACGCCCGCAAACTTCAGGGCCATCTCCTTCGCCGAGGGGAATTCGGGCGTTGCTGAGACACTGGTACCGGCCGCCCGAGTCGTCGTCACAGTCCTCAATGAAAGCCGAAAACCCTTAACAAGGTAAAAGGCAACAAACCCAAACGCCCGAAGTGCGCCCTAAACCCTAAGCCCTAAACACCCTAAACCCTCAGCCCTGAACACCCTACTTTTGGGGGCTCCGAATAATGACTAAACGTATTCCCTTATGGTCCCTCTTTCATTATGCTATAAAAATCCAGAAAAAACCCTATTCTATCCATTAAGGCCCCTATAGAAAGCCCTCGAGCTCTCGAGCCCAACACCCACAGCTCGAGAGCCCAATCCCTAACCAAACCAACCCAAGGTCCAGCAGGCCCTCCACCCTGAACCCTAAACCCTAAACCCTAGGCCCTAAACCCTAAACCCTAAACCCTAAACCCTAAACCCTAGACCCTAGACCCTAGACCCTAGACCCTAGACCCTAGACCCTAGACCCTAGACCCTAGACTCCAAGCCCTCAGCCCTGTAAATGCTAAAACTCTAACGCCCAAAGCCCATCAACCCTGAACCTGAAAAAGCAAAGAAAATCTTGAACCCACCAACCCCGAAACCCTTAACCCCCTATACCCCACACCCCTAACCCTTCCAGCCCCTAAACCCTAAACCCTAAACGAAAACCCTTAAACCCGCCTAAGCCTCAAAACCTAAAGAAGCTTAATAACTTGAACCCTTAAAAACCGAAAACCCTTAAACCCTCCTGTAAATCAAGCACACTTATGGGTGGGTAGTTGCTGGTTCCCTAAGAGCCTCTGAACCCTAATTCCCTAAACCCCTAAACCCCTAAACCCCTAAACCCCTAAACCCCTAAACCCCTAAACCCCTAAACCCCTAAACCTTATTTCAGGCAATGGCCTCTTTATGAAGGGGTAACTGTCAAAATGGCCCGTAACAGAAACAGATTTGGGAAGAGATTCCGTAAATATTTTTAGGGTTCAGGAAATTGGGACCCCCGCAGGCCCGTGACAGAAACAGATTTGGGAAGAGATTCCGTAAATATTTTCAGGGTTCAGGGTTTAGGAACCCGGCCAAAGCTGAAAGAGGCTACCTGCCACAACCACCCCCCCAAGCGCATGTTTGAGTAGGGGCCAAAGCTGAAAGAGGCCACCTGCCACAAGTGGTCTTTCGCCCAAAGTCCTGTACCTAAAGAGTGCACCCCCCCTGAATGTCCAAAGCACATGTTTGAGTAGGGGGGGCCAAAGCTGAAAGAGGCCACCTGCCACAAGTGGGCTTTCGCCCACAGTCCTGTACCTAAAGAGGCCACCCCCCCTGAATGTCCAAAGCACATGTTTGAGTAGGGGGGGCCAAAGCTGAAAGAGGCCACCTGCCACAAGTGGGCTTTCGCCCACAGTCCTGTAACTAAAGAGGCCACCCCCCCTGGCCTCTTTATGAAGGGCTGACTGTCAAAATGGCCCGTAACAGTAACAGATTTGGGAAGAGATTTGGGAAGAGATTCCGTAAATATGTTGTATTTGAGTGTGGACATTGAAGAGGGCTGGCCTCTTTAGTTACAGGGCTTTGGGCAAAACCCAGCTGTGGCGGGTGGCCTCTTTCAGTTTTGGCCCCTTTTGTTCAAATACATGTTTTGGACAGTCAAGGGGGTGGCCTGTTTAGCTGCATGACTTTGGGCGAAAGCCCAGTTGTGGCGGGTGGCCTCTTTCAGCTTTGGCCCCTTTTGCTCAAATATGTGTTTTGGACATTGAGGCCGGGCAACACATTTCCTAAAGTAGTTAGTGTCGTTTTGGTGACCAGAGCCGGGCGACACATTTCCTATAGTAGTTAGTTGTTTTAGTGGCCAAAACCGGGCGACACATTTCCTAAACTAATTAGTCGTTTCTGTGGCCAAAGCCGGGCGACACATTTCCTAAAGTTGTTAGTCGTTTTAGTGGCCAAAACCGGGCGACACAATTCCTAAAGTAGTTAATCGCTTTAGTGGCCAAAGCCGGGCGACACATTTCCTAAAGTAGTTAGTGTCGTGTTAGTGACCAAAGCCGGGCGACACTTTTTTTTTCCTAAATTAGTTCGTCGTTTTTGAGACCAAAACCGGGCGACACATTTCCTAAACTAGTTCGTCGTTTTAGTGAGCAAAACCGGGCGACACATGTCCTAATGTAGTTAGTCGTTTTGGTGACCAAAACCGGGCGTCACATGTCCTAAAGTAGTTAGTCGCTTTAGTGACCAAAGCCGGGCGACACATTTCCTAAAGTAGTTAGTCGTTTTAGTGACCAAAGCCGGGCGAAAATTTTCTTAAACTACTTAGTCGTTTTAGTGACGATGTTTCACCTCTTGTCTATTGTTGCTAAGCGGAAAAATGCTTTTACAAAAAACAAGAAAGCTGAAAACAACTACAAAACCCTAGACAAGGTAGTCTTTCAACTTTTTGGCCACCCCTATATATGGTTGTGCGCTGTGCGTTCCGCCCCCCCCCCCCAGGTATCCCACCCCCCCATGGTCTACAGTCTCCCCTAAACCAAGCCTAAACCCTAAACCCTAAACCCTTATATAACCCTAAACCCTAAACCCTACCCTAAACCCTAAACCCCTAAACCCCTAAGCCCTAAACCGTAAACCCTAAACCCTAAACCCTAACCCCTAAACCCTAGGCGGGGGGGGGTCCCGTGGTGGTGGTGGTGGTCCCGTGGTGGTGGTGGTCCTGTGGTGGTGGTCCGTGGTGGTGGTCCGTGGTGGTGGTCCGTGGTGGTTGTCTGTGGTGGCCGTGGTGGTGGGGAGGGGGGGGGGGGGGGGGGGCCGCCGGGGCGCAACCATACATAGGCCGTGCAAGAAACTCAAGGACACGGTTGAGGGTTTGGGGGTTTAGGGTTTTGGGGTTTCACAGGGTTCGGGCCAAAGCCCGACACAAAACACCCTAACCCCCAAAACCTTAAGGGTTTCGGATTTAGGTTTAGTTTAGGGTTTAGGCTGGGTGTTTTAGGGTTTGGCTTTAGGGTTTTGAAGATTAGGGTTGTTTAGAAGTTTAGCTGGTTTGGGGCTGTTTAGGGTTTAGAAGCTTTGGTTTGGGCCTTGAGGGCTATATTGTTTATTCTGGGAGTGGACTCGGGGGGACTTACTGGAAGGTATTTTATTATTAGGTTGTATTCGTTTCAGAGGCCATGAAAGAGGAGGCCCTGGAACAGTTCTAGTCTGTTCCGGGTACCGTCAAAAAGTGTGCAAAACAACATGCCCTGGAACAGTTCTAGTCTGTTCCGGAGCAGAAAACCAGGCCCCGGAACAGTTCCAGAACAGTTCCGGAACAGTTCCGCTTTGTTTCGGGATTTTGCCCCAAAAACGTACGCCCTGGAACTGTTCTAGTTTGTTCTGGAGCATATGAAAACAAGGTTGTTTTTTCTTATTATCTTCTGTTGTTTTTTATATTTTTTCATATTTGTTATGCTGTTATTTTGTGATATATACATATATATATGTACATATTTCATTGTTATATTGCTATATTGTTATCTTGTTGTATTGGTATCTTGTTATCTTGCTATTTTGTTATATTGCTATATTGCTATATTGCTGTATTGTGTTTTTACTGTCATAGTATTCTATTCTTCATAAATCATAAAATGACATTATTCACAACGTGGACATTTTCCTCAGGGGACAAAGAGTCTCTAAAGGAGTTCCAAGGTCTATAAGTCTTTAGCTTATATAGGCTATAGGCCTATCCTGCCTCTCCATTCGGGATGACGGAAGCCCTCTCCGGCGCGCTTTTGGCTCACGAAAGTGCGCTGGGGAGGGTTTTCGTGGCTCAGGGACACAGGGGATCCAAAAGGAGTTCTATAGTCTAAGTGTCTATAGCCTATATTGGCTACAGGCTATAGGTCCATACTGCCTCTCCTTTCGGGATGACGAAAACCCTCTCCGGCGCACTTTTGGCTCACGAAAGTGCGCCGGAGAGGGTTTTTGTGGCTCAGGGGACAGAGGGGATCCAAGTTCTATAGTCTATGGCTATAGGTCTATCCTGCCTGTCCCATTTTGGATGACGATAAAAACCCTCTCCGGCGCACTTTTGGCTCACGAAAGTGCGCCGGGGAGGGTTTTCGTGGCTCAGGGACAGAGGGGATCCAAGTTCTACAGTCTATGGCTATAGGTCTATCCTGCCTCTCCATTTTGGATGACGATGAAAACCCTCTCCGGCGCACTTTTGGCTCACGAAAGTGCGCGGGGGAGGGTTTTTGTGGCTCAGGGGACAGAGGGGATCCAGGTTCTATAGTCTATGGCTATAGGTCTATCCTGCCTCTCCATTTTTGATTGCCACTGACACACCAAAGAGGCTATTGCCTCGTTTCGGCCTAATGATTGCCACTCACACACCAAAGAGGCCATTGCCTCGTTTCGGCCCAATGATTGCCACTCACACACCAAAGAGGCCAGCGCCTCGTTTCGGCCCAATGGTTGCCACTCACGTAGCAAAGAGGCCATTGCCTCGTTTCGGCCCAATGATTGCCACTCACGCACCAAAAAGGCCATTGCCTCGTTTCGGCCCAATGAACTCACGGGTACAATTTGCAGGATTTGCGACGTGATTTGCTACATGCCCCGTTCCATTTACAGGATTTGCGACGTGATTTGCTACATGCCCCGTTTCATTTACAGGATTTGCGCCGTGATTTCCTACATGCCTTTTCCCCTCCCATGCCCCCAGATATGTAGCTGACAGTCAAAGAGGCCATTGCCTGAAATAGCCTAAACCCCAAACCCCAAACCCTAAACCCTAAACCCTAAACCCTGAACCCTGAACCCTAAACCCTAAACCCTAAACCCTAAACCCTGCACACTAAGCCCACAAGAAAGCTCTGAGCATCCCGGATAAAGGTGCCAGATGTTGAGGCCATGGCCCGGGCCCCGGAGCTGCAGCCGAGGGATGTAGGGTTTAGGGTTTAGGGTTTAGGGGTTTTCTTAGGGTTTACTGTTTAGGGTTTAGGAGTTGAGGGGTTCGGGTTTAGGGTTTAGGTTTTGGGGTTTGGGGCCTAGGGGTATGGGGCTTGGGATTTTAGGGGTGTTTCAGGGGTGGCTTTGGGGCTTTAGGCTTTCAGGGTCTATTTCTGTTGGGGGATTAGGTTTTTCGAAAGCTTTGGACTTTGAAGTTTTAGGCCTCTTCTTTGACGAAGGGTTTAAAGTTTAGGTGGGGCCCTTCTGCGGATTTAGGGTTTCAGGGCTTCTTGGTTTTAGGTGTTAAGGCTGTGGGGATATAGGGTTTGGGGGGCTCCGGCTTCAAGTTTAGGGTTTCGGGTTTCGGGTTTACGGCTTCGGGCCTTTCATGTTGCAGCTTCCAGGTTTTTTTGGGTTTAGGGCTGTATGGTTTTCAGGCTTGAGGGCTATAGGGAGGACGGGTCCATGAGGTACGTACGTCGTGGGAGTCTGGGTCTGTGATTTAAGTAGCGGGCACAAGACAGGATTTAGGGTCAGACTTTTAGGGTTCTGTTGAGGCTGTAAGGGTTTAGGCCCAAAGGGGCTTGGCTTTGATTCGGGTTCAGGGTTTGTTCAGGGGTCAAGTGGCCAGAGCGACCCACCAGCCCGTATCGACAAAAGGGTTTCCTAGGCCAAGGCAAACTTCTACGTAGACTCCGAGCTTCAGCCCCTCCATGGAATTCCAAGACCGCAGCTCGAAATCCAAGCGAAAGACGCAAAGTGGTTGCTCAGGTGCTCGATGATGGCCCGCTGAAGCCTAGACCCGGTAGAGCCCCCCAAACCCTAAACCCTAAACCCTAAACCCTAAACCCTAAACCCCCAAGGTCGACCTGAGACCCCACACACCCTGACTTCCGAGAAAATCCCTTGGAAAGGATCTGGACATCATGGAGCTCAACGCTTGGATGCACGCCTCAGGTCACCGCTGGCAGTGAGTGCTCTGTGCTTCTGAGGTTCCTTCGCAGGACAGCCTGATCATTGGGGTTTAGGGTTTGGGGTTTAGGGTTTAGGGTTTAGGGTCTAGGGTTTAGGGTTTAGGGTTTAAGGTTAGGGTTTAGGGTTTAGGGTTTTAGGGTTTAGGGTTTAGGCTTAGGGTTTACCGTCACACTTCCCACAAGCATACTTCAGGAAATGCCTTCGTACGAACATCGTGCCGGTAGCCCCAAATTGATTCTCGTCAACATTCTCTTGACACTTGGTGCGATCAGCTCACATGAGTCCTCGATATTCTCAGACTCTCGTGCTCTCTTTATGAACTGGTCATGTGTTGCAATTGTGTGTGTCATTTGTCTGATGTCTGCTGCTGTCGTTTTTGCTGCTACTGTTGCGATGGCTTTTGTACTATATAAGAACGCCGCAAGCCCTTCATCGGCTGATGCTTGACCGCGTGTGTTGATTATGCTAAGCTGCATGCCAGGTCCAGCCGGCAAAGCCCTTGCCAAGGCTGCAGGCACCGCTTGTTCTGGCTGAACCCAACGCAGTCCAAATGATGCACGGTGATTTCAACATGCTACCAATCTGATAAGTCACACTGTCTGTATTGCGCATACATATATCCCTCTACATCTGTTTACACATATATATATATATATGTATTTTTCTATAGTTGTGCGGACAGTTACTGCCAGCATGCCTGAAAAAAAAAGAGACTCTTTCCTCTTGGCTGCTGACATGGCAAGTAAGCCGCTGAAGATGAACGCGCCGATCTAAAGAAATCTTGTTCCTATTTGGTGGTTTACGAACATAGGGGACTCCTAATATAGACCCCCAAATAGTAGGATCCCCTCATATTGAGGACCCCATTAAGGTACCCCTAATTTCGGCAATTCCCATTTCAATATAGGGCATCTCTGGTACTTACTTTCTTTGGTTTTATGTGTTTTGGGTTTAAGGTGCGGTCTCTACATCCTCCAGCCGCCGCACCCAGTAACACTCAGGGCGCAAAGGCTTTGGTAAAGGTTTACCATAAGCCCTAAACCCTTTATCAACCCCCATCAACCCTAAACCTTGACATTCTTTCCCTAAAACGGCTCCCTTATACCAGCAGTCCTTCATGGGGATTCTAGTAACCCCTATCATAATCCCTACTGAGGACTGTTAGGAACATCCCACACTCTAAACCTTAAGCAGTAGGAGCTACCCCCACCAAGTCATACGGGCGCTGGGTGCCAGGTCGAAACCGAAGCTTGGGCAACAGCCGAAAGGCCAGGATTTCAGGGTCCGTAAGGGTTTAAAGGGTTTAGGGTGTAAGGGTTTAGGGTTTAGGATTTAGGCCCCATCAGGATTACAAGTTTTGTTTAGCAAGCCCTTTCCTTTTGATCGGTAATGTCCCCGCTTGTTTCTTGCAAGGAATATGTTGCGGAGGCTTTCCGACGCCAATCTGGTTTAGGCGTCAGTGCTTCAGAGACTATCTAGGAGGCTCTGGTTTAAGGCTTTGTTAGAGAAGAAGTATCCCCACGACAGAAGGTAAGTAAACCCAACGACTATAAGGTATCTTTTCCTAGTGATTGGGGTTTCAGGAAGCTGTAAACTGCAGGGCTCGAAGTTTAGGGTTTCAGGTTTACGGATTACTTTGTTCTAGTTTTGGAGGTTTGGGGGTGAGGGTGTAGGGCCATGCAAGTTTACAGCTGAAGGGATAAGCTCTCTGAACCCTGAGATCTGTGTTCTAGAACCCTAAAACGTTTCGGGCTGTCTTCCTTCGCAATTCCTGCTTTCAGGGATTTCGATTCCCAGAACTGTTGTGAACTTGGGTTTAGGGTTCAGGGTTTAGGGTTTTCAGAGCATTGGGCTTTAGGGCTTAGGGTTTCGTGATGAGCGCTGGGCTTATGTTTGGGCTTTGGGAGGTTATTTTGGCCTGTTTTCCCTTCAGGAGAATTTAGGGTTTAGGGTTTACGGTGTTGCTACACCCAGCGATCGCTGTGGCTTTGGTGGCGCTTTTTGTTTCAGGGTCAGTTTCCCGGCTAAATCCCATTACCAACACTGTTTGATGTTAGACCCCCGGCTGCTGAGGAACCAAAACATCCTTCATGAGGTCAGGGTAGCCTTTGTTTGGGCTCAGGTTGTGGAAGCGCCGAATTTGGGATGTTCCCCTTGTGTTAACAGTCCTTAACAGAGATTCTAGTACACCCTATTATCATCCCTATACAGGACGCTTAGTATAAGGGGGAACATCCCAAGCCTGAATTTTCACTGAGATGGTGATGGGGCCAAAGTGTGTCCAGACACTATGGCCCCGCAAGTCCGCTCAAGCTCACAAACCACAAGCCGAAGCCCCTGAACCCGAAGAGAGTTTAGGGTTTAGGGTTTAGGGTTTAGGGTTTAGGGGTTCCCTTTTATATTAGTTAAGGATACACCTTGTAAGGGGCTCTTGTCCCACGGTCCATCCCTTTACGGACGTATAGGTGCCCCAAAGCCCTTGCACACTGGAGCTCGAAGCCCAGAAGCTGGTTGCTCCCTATCGAAAACTGACGCCGGCGCTCAGGCTAGTGGTGCCTCAGCAACCATAAACCCCCAACCCTACAGCCCCAAAACCCTGAACCCTGAGTGCAGGTCACCTGCTACCTGCAAGGAGGCAAGCGATACCAAGTGGAATATCCGACAAAGGCAACCGTCACTGCCTGAGTTCAGGGACTAAAGGAGGGGCTTGCCTTGAAGGGATTAGGGATTAGGGTTTAGGGTTTAGGGTGTAGTTAGGGTTTGCGGCCTAGGATTCGGGCTCATAGGGTTTGGAGTTTAGGGTTTAGTGTAATGAGGTTTTATCGGGCCCCTTATACGGGACGCTATGGGGATTGTGTGCACCAATTTCGGCCCATTTAAGTAGGTATATCAAGGCTATATTCAGTGACTACGGTGTTTATGGTCTCGATGTAACGTATGTGTGTATGTATATATATATATATATGTACCGTAGGTTATATATGGGATGAAGAGTTTGGCTTTGGCGGTTTCGCTTGCAGATGAGGATTTTCTTTGTACCGTTTGGGATTCCGATTGAACTACAGAGCCTGATCTTCAGGGTACCTCGAAAGGGCGGCACCGCAATTGAATGAATTGCCCATATTAGCAGCCTCGAATTGAAACGGATATTACTGCATATCTGCCCCGCTGCCAGCCTTTCGAAAGTTGCTGGATCTCGGGGATCTTGGCATTGCCGTGTCCAAGGGCAGCAGAAAGTAGGGGCCTGCGCTTGAAGCATGATTGTATAGGATTCAGGAGAGCCTCTCCAAGTAAGTGCGGCTGGTCCAGAAAGTCGGCAAGGAGGAGCCGCTATTAAAAGGTTCGCGGCTCAGAGAGTTTAGGAATCCCTAACCTGCCATGGCAAAAATTCCTAAGGAACGCGCTCGTCACAAGTTGCACACGGTTGTATGAATCAACATGCCTTGCCAGCCAACTCCCGACATCCCAAAAAGAGAGAATAGCTCCGGACCCTAAACCCTAAACCCTAAACCCTAAACCCTAAACCCTAAACCCTGGGTCGGACGACCGAGTCGACTTCTTTGGAGCTTGATAGATACGGAAAGCCTGGCAATGCCTCCAAACACCCTTGAGAAGACCTCGGCTCGGCGCAGGAACCGCAACCCTTAGAGGTTGTTGGGGCTTCGGGTTTAGTGTTTAGGGTTTAAGGTTTAGGGTTTGGGGCTAAGGGCTGAGGGCTACCCAAAAAGCATACAGCTTCCAAGGTTAAGGATCTTCTGGCGAATCTGAGCGATCAGGCCGACATGACGTGTGCCGACCACAAGGCCAGGTACAATTTAGGGTTTACGTTTTAGGTTAGGTGTTCACCTGTTCTGACCAAACCCTTATACGAGGCTACCCACACGCGCCCCAAACTGATCTTTAAAGCTCAACTCCGCATGAAAATAGTTTCATGACATGCTTCCGTCCAACGATGAGCTTCCCAGATTTTCAAGTGGAAGACTTCCGAGTCGTGGGAGTACGCACTGCTACTGATTGCTTAAGAACCCCCTGAAAATAGAATATTCTTCCTTGTAAGTGTAATATAGGGATTATTGTTTTTTTGTTTTTACTTTTTTTGGGGTTCTTAAACAAATAGTAGACATGCGATCGGCAAGAGCAAAGTGTAGAAATCTATGATGCGACATGCTGCGATCCCGTACATGCGACGTCGCGGCCTCAACTATACAGCCTACAGCCCTAAAGCACGAACCCTAATTCCTAAAACCTACATCCCTAAACCCCGACAGTTCGAGACTCTACACTTCTACAATTCTAGACCCTACACATCCAAAATCCCTCAACGGAATTGGACAGGTCTACCGTGTCCCTCCTATGGTCGCGTTTGGTGGCACTGGCGGGTGCTCCCGGCTTTATGCATTGAAATTTCGGGTGCAACATATGTATTAACAGGTTATACATATCCATGTATACATGCGTATCTATATATGTATAAAGAGCGAGAGAGAGAGATAACGCACATATATATATATATGTATGTAGGACCTTTATGCGTTATTTGACGGTCCTGCTTCGCCTTCCAAAACTTTAAGGATTTTAAGGAATTTAGGGGTTTTCCAAAATTTTAAAAGGACCACAAAATCCTTAAAATTTTGAAAGCCCGGACCTTTCAAAATTTTAAGGATTTTAAGGATTTTAAGGAGTTTAAGGCCTTTTAAATTTCTTAAAATCCTTAAAATCCTTAAAATTTTGAAAGAAAATTAAATTATTTTCCGGAAAGAGGCAGGCCCATTTAAAATTTTAAAAATCCTTAAAATCCTTAAAACCCTTAAAATTTTGAAAGCCCGGGCCTTTCAAAATTTTAAGGATTTTAAGGAATTTAAGGCCTTTTAAATTTCTTAAAATCCTTAAAATCCATAAAATTTTGAAAGAAAATTAAATCATTTTCCGGAAAGAGGCAGGCCCATTTAAAATTTTAAAAATCCTTAAAATCCTTAAAATCCTTAAAATTTTGAAAGCCCGGGCCTTTCAAAATTTTAAGGATTTTAAGGAATTTAAGGCATTTTCAATTTCTTAAAATACTTAAAATCCTTAAAATCCTTAAAATTTTGAAAGAAAACTAAATTATTTTCCGGAAAGAGGCAGGCCCATTTAAAATTTTAAAAATCCTTAAAATCCTTAAAATCCTTAAAATTTTGAAAGCCCAGGCCTTTCAAAATTTTAAGGATTTTAAGGAATTTAACGCCTTTTAAATCTCTTAAAATCCTTAAAATCCTTAAAATCCTTAAAATCCTTAAAATCCTTAAAATTTTGAAAGAAAATTAAATCATTTTCCGGAAAGAGGCAGGCCCATTTAAAATTTTAAAAATCCTTAAAATCCTTAAAACCCTTAAAATTTTGAAAGGTTGGGGCTTTCAAAATTTTAAGGATTTTAAGGAATTTAACGCCTTTTAAATCTCTTAAAATCCTTAAAATCCTTAAAATCCTTAAAATCCTTAAAATTTTGAAAGAAAATTAAATTATTTTCCGGAAAGAGGCAGGCCCATTTAAAATTTTAAAAATCCTTAAAATCCTTAAAATCCTTAAAATTTTGAAAGCCCGGGCCTTTCAAAATTTTAAGGATTTTAAGGAATTTAAGGCCTTTTAAATTTCTTAAAATCCTTAAAATCCTTAAAATTTTGAAAGAAAATAAATTATTTTCCGGAAAGAGGCAGGCCCATTTAAAATTTTAAAAATCCTTAAAATCCTTAAAATCCTTAAATTTTTGAAAGCCCGGGCCTTTCAAAATTTTAAGGATTTTAAGGAATTTAAGGCCTTTTAAATTTCTTAAAATCCTTAAAATCCTTAAAATTTTGAAAGAAAATTAAATTATTTTCCGGAAAGAGGCAGGCCCATTTAAAATTTTAAAAATCCTTAAAATCCTTAAAATTTTGAAAGGTTGGGGCTTTCAAAAGGATTTTAAGGAATTTAACGCCTTTTAAATTTCTTAAATCCTTAAAACCCTTAAAATCCTTAAAATTTTTGCAAGAAATTAATCATTTTTCCGGAAAGGAGCAGCCCATTTTAATTGTTACAAATCCTTAAATCCAATTAAAATTTTGAAAGGTTGGGTTTCAAAATTTTAGGATTTTAAGGAATTTAACGCCTTTTAATTTCTTAAATCTTAAATCCAAAATTTTGAAAGAACATTAAATTTGTTCCCGAAGAGGCAGGCCCATTTAAAATTTTAAAAATCCTTAAAATCCTTAAAATCCTTAAAATTTTGAAAGGTTGGGGCTTTCAAAATTTTAAGGATTTTAAGGATTTTAAGGATTTTTAAAATTTTAAATGGGCCTGACTCTTTCCGGAATATATTTTAATTTTATTTCAAAATTTTAAGGATTTTAAGGATTTTAACAAATTTAAAAGGCGTTAAGTTCCTTAAAATCCTTAAAATTTTGAAAGCCCCAACCTTTCAAAATTTTAAGGATTTTAAGGATTTTTAAAAGTTTAAATGGGCCTGCCTCTGTCCGGAAAATAATTCAATTTTCTTTCAAAATTTTAAAGGATTTTAAGGATTTTAAGAAATTTAAAAGGCGTTAAATTCCTTAAAATCCTTAAAATGTTGAAAGGCCCGGGCTTTCAAAATTTTAAGGCTTTTAAGGATTTTAAGGATTTTTAAAATTTTAAATGGGCCTGCCTCTTTCCGGAAAATGATTTAATTTTCTTTCAAAATTTTAAGGATTTTAAGGATTTTAAGGATTTTAAGAAATTTAAAAGGCCTTAAATTCCTTAAAATCCTTAAAATGAAAGGCCTGGGCTTTCAAATTTTAAGGATTTTAAGGATTTTTAAAATTTTAAATGGGCCTGCCTCTTTCCGGAAAATAATTTAGTTTTCTTTCAAAATTTTAAGGATTTTAAGGATTTTAAGAAATTTAAAAGGCGTTAAATTCCTTAAAATCCTTAAAATTTTGAAAGCCCCAACCTTTCAAAATTTTAAGGGTTTTAAGGATTTTAAGGATTTTTAAAATTTTAAATGGGCCTGCCTCTTTCCGGAAAATGATTTAATTTTCTTTCAAAACTTTAAGGATTTTAAGGATTTTAAGAAATTCAAAAGGCCTTAAATTCCTTAAAATCCTTAAAATTTTGAAAGGCCCGGGCTTTCAAAATTTTAAGGATTTTAAGGGTTTTAAGGATTTTGAAAATTTTAAATGGGCCTGCCTCTTTCCGGAAAATAATTTAATTTTCTTTCAAAATTTTAAGGATTTTAGGGATTTTAAGGATTTTAAGACAATTTAAAAGGCGTTAAATTCCTTAAAATCCTTAAAATTTTGAAAGCCCCAACCTTTCAAAATTTTAAGGATTTTAAGGATTTTCAGGATTTTTAAAATTTTAAATGGGCCTGCCTCTTTCCGGAAAATAATTTAATTTTCTTTCAAAATTTTAAGGATTTTAAGGATTTTAAGAAATTTAAAAGGCCTTAAATTCCTTAAAATTCTTAAAATTTTGAAAGGCCCGGGCTTTCAAAATTTTAAGGATTTTAAGGATTTTAAGGATTTTTAAAATTTTAAATGGGCCTGCCTCTTTCCGGAAAATAATTTAATTTTCTTTCAAAATTTTAAGGATTTTAAGGGTTTTAAGGATTTTAAGGATTTTAAGGATTTTTAGAATTTTAAATGGGCCTGCCTCTTTCCGGAAAATAATTTAATTTTCTTTCAAAATTTTAAGGATTTTAAGGATTTTAAGAAATTTAAAAGGCCTTAAATTCCTTAAAATCCTTAAAATTTTGAAAGGCCCGGGCTTTCAAAATTAACGATTTTAAGGATTTTAAGGATTTTTAAAATTTTAAATGGGCCTGCCTCTTTCCGGAAAATAATTTAATTTTCTTTCAAAATTTTAAGGATTTTAAGGATTTTAAGAAATTTAAAAGGCGTTAAATTCCTTAAACTCCTTAAAATTTTGAAAGCCCCAACCTTTCAAAATTTTCAGGATTTTAAGGATTTTAAGGATTTTTAAAATTTTAAATGGGCCTGCCTCTTTCCGGAAAATAATTTAATTTTCTTTCAAAATTTTAAGGGTTTTAAGGATTTTAAGAAATTTAAAAGGCCTTAAATTCCTTTCAATTTTGAAAGGCCCGGGCTTTCAAAATTTTAAGGGTTTTCAGGATTTTAAGGATTTTAAAATTTTAAATGGGCCTGACTTTTCCGGAAAATAAATTCATTTTCCAATAGTTTTACTGAGTTTAATTTTTTTTATTTAAATGGGCCTGACCCTTTCTGGAAAATACTTGAATATTAGTTTAAAATTTGATAGATTTTAAGGAAACTAGGGGCATTTCAATATTTGGAAAGGCCATGAAGTTCCATGGGTACGTTATATTTTTGGATTTTTGTTTGTAATTTTTAGCAAATAAACCATTTAAGTTGTTTTTTGCAATTTTCCTGAAATTCTGAAAGCCTAGGCCTTACAAGAAAAATAAAAAAAACAGCAACACAAATACTCATTTAAAATATTTAAATGCGCTTCTTAGTCCTTTTAAAAAAGAACATTTTGTTTTGTTAATTCATAAGGCTTGTAAAAAAAGCCGGGGGTCCGGGGACGAGCGTTAACAAAAGCATTCCCCTTGAATATTTCTCCCGCGAAACTTTTCTCCCGCGAATTTTGGCGGGAGAAATTCCCGCGAGCTCTCCCTTGAGTTTTTCTGGTTTTCCCGTGGTTTCCCTTTGATGTTTTTTTTTGGTTTCCCTTCAGTTTCCCGTGAGAGTCAAATCTTCCTTTTACTGTTCCCTTGGACTTCCCTTTGAACTTCCCTTGGTTTTCCCTCGGATCCCCTTCGAAATTAAAACGTATCCCGCGAGAAATCTCGCAAGACTTCAAAAATAAGGGCTTCCTTTTCCCACGGGATTTCCCGCGAAGCAGGCCGTAGGCCCCGAGCTGTGGCTGTAGTCTGCAGGCCCCCGAGCTCTCTGACTGTAGAGTCTCCAGGCCCCCGGGCTCGCTGTAGTCACCAGGGTCCCGGGCTGTCTGGCTGTAGTCTGCAGGGCCCCGAGCTCTCTGACTGTAGAGTCTCCAGGCCCCCGGGCTCGCTGTAGTCACCAGGCCTCCGGGCTGTCTGGCTGTAGTCTGCAGGCCCCCGAGCTCTCTGACTGTAGTCTCCAGCCCCCCGGGCTCTCGTGCTTGCTTGGGTTTATATTGTTTTTTTACTTAATTAGATTGACTTAAGTAATTTAAATAATTTCAAGAATTTAAGTATCGAAATTTATTTAAATAATTAAATAACATAAATATGACGGGCAGGTTTCGGATTTAAATTACTTAAGTTATTTAATTCGGCCTGGAATTAAATAATGTGAATAATTTGTAAATAATATCAACAATTTACATAATTTAAATAATTGAAATAGTTTAAATAATTTAAATA